AACCAATGCGCTTCGCTCAGTTGGTACACCGACAGACTGTTAAAATGCAGATGTGAGTTCGAATCCAGATGATGGAACCAGATGAACGAAATTCCTGAATCGCCTGCCGTCCGTCAGTTTCACGATGATATCTCAAGGTTGTCGCCCTTAAAGCACTAGTACCTCCGCCAGTGTTGGGAAAATAGGGAAAAGTGGACGTTTTCCCCAAACTCCTAAAATGTCGGAGGCCGGGCCCGACGACGGTTGCCATTGATAAATCTGATCGGCGGCCGTCGTTTCGTTTCCACCTCCAAAAAGGTCGGAGGCCCACCTGAGGCCCGCTATTTTCCCACGCGGCAAAGGTACTGCGAGGATCAGTGTCCTTGGTAGGCCTATGGGGCCCTGTCTGCAGCCTTACCCGCCCTAAGTGAAGGCGGAGGTGCCCGCCCTAAGTGAAGGCGGAGGTGCCCGCCCTAAGTGAAGGCGGGCCTGGTTTTTTGCAAGAGACCCTCGACTGTCAATTTCATACTTGGGGTCCAGGCAGTTGCGACGCGCCACTTGGTTGAAAGAAACACAGGCCGAGTACTGAAGACATTTCCACGGCCTACCGGGCCTTTCCAAAGAATGCAGGCCCTGGGCGTGATTCGCAGCCTCATACAGAGACAGTTGGGCGCCCAACCAAACGAGGCCCAGCAGCCCAGTAGCTGCTGCATCCAGGCAGCATCCTGGGGCCTTCCGGAAGCTTCTGGGCCCAGGCCAGCCCAGCCAGGCTGCGAGAGCTGGCCAGCTCTTTTCCATAAAGGAAAGAGCTCTGGCCAGGCAGCCTCATTCAGGCACTCGCATGCTGGGCGGCAGCACTGCTGGAGCTTATGCTCGTAGGCTGCTGCTAGCGCGGAGAGGCGAGGTGCAGCACGTGCGGTCGTGCAGAGAAGGAGGGCGCTGCTGAGGGCAGCGCCATAGCCCAGCCACCATAGCTGGTGGGCGTGGACTACAGTGAACCGTAGGGGTGGTCTTCGGGTGACAGAGAGGACAGGTGTGGGTGAAGTCAGGGGATAGGTAAAGAATGATGATGATGAGGGCACGTACCTTGTATTGGTGATGGTCTGCATGGGCGGCATCTTCAAGTACTTCGGGCAGTTGCATTGTCTTTTTGTAGTCTGTAGTAGCTGTGTAGGAGTAGGCTGGGCGCTGAGCGCCAAGTGTGAGTGTAAGGGAACTGGACTCTTGTGTTGAGAGGAGAGAGTGTGCTCTCCACGGACATTGGTTTTCAGTGCTACGAAACTCCATTGGTGTATTATTGGTGCAATGCTGCTATCTGGACACAGTGTGACTATTTG